CCCCAAAACCCCAAAACCCCAAAACCCCAATTTTGTCTTAAAGTGTTGAATTACACACTAGCAAGTTCCTATCAGTAAATCTACAGCTCAGGTACTTCTGAGTCTTTCGAGGAACAATGGTCAGCAAAAAGGGGTTCTCAAGAGCATCTTTTGTCTTCATTTTTCTGAAACTTCCCTCCTTAACAATCTCTTGGAAATCATAGAGTAAAGGTGTGTCATCTTCCCGTATAACACACAAAATTTTATTATCATGACTCATGGCTAGATCCCAGACTGCAGAATTTTCTTCATCAGAGACAAAGAATTTAGTGACTGGAGTATCTCTCTCAATGTTGTAGACTACGACCTTTCCTGTTTCAGTCCCTACGATCACATAACTGTTTGGAAAAACTTCAGAGTTTTGCTAAATTTTTGAAAATTACCCACATGAATTTTTAGCAATTCTAGGCTTATTCACAACAAAATATCAAAATTCAGTAACAATTTTAAATGTGAGGTGATTTTTTAGGGGAAATGCTCAGCCCAAATCTGCCAATCTCAACCTTCACCACAAAAATTTTAAAGCAAAGACTTAAAATAGGTTTCACAATAATCAATTTATAAACCTTACCTCTGACTCCAAAGCACTATCTCCTCCACAAGAAGTGACAATAAGGGACCTAATCTGACTATCTTTATTCCTAAATAAAATATGAGAGATTTTTAGGTTTCAAGGAGTATGCCTAATCTGTCTAACTCATTCAGCTGTCAGAATACTCCAGACTCTAATAGTTCAATCTTCAGAGCCAGTAATGGCATAGTTCAAGTTTGGGTGAAATCTAACTTTCTGAACGTCCTTTGTATGACCGAGGAAAGCTCTCAAGCTCCCAGTTGTCTCTGTACTCCACATCTTAGCTGTTGTGTCTGTGCTACAAGATAAAAAGTAGACTCCTAATGTAGAGTCCATGTAATGGGCGAAGCTGAGGTCAAGAACACAAGATTGGTGAGCTTTGTATTTAGCCACTGCGATCCCTCCTCTAACAGTCCAAAGTCTAATATCTCTGTCATAGCCTGCACTAATTCAATAGATGTTGTCATCAGTGATGCTAACGCAAAACACAGGTCCTGAGTGGCCTAAAAGAGTCTTAGACTCGATCTTCGTCATATAAGGGGTCAGATACTCAGCTTGTACGCCTTCAAACATCTTCTTGCTTCTATAAAGCTGGTCAAGCTCCTTTCTCAGTCTTCTTTGGATGACATGATTAGCTTTAAGCTTTTCTGTTTTGATCTCATCATCGAAAATTCCGGTCTCCTGAAAGCCAGAGGAGTTCATAAGTTGCCCTTTGATCTTCCTGACATTCTTAAAGTTAGTCTTGATGTCATGGATTTCCTTCTTTAACTTCTCTTCTTCAGCTTTGAGCATTTTAATTTCCTCATGTCTGCAGTTAATTTTAGCGAAGTAGTCATAAAGGCATTTATTTAGTGTATTGGTGGTCTGTATCTTCTTTTTGTTCAGAGTCTGGGCCATCCTCCCTAGATTTGGATGAAAAATAGGTGAAAAATTCATGATTTTGGTACGAGATTAAGTTAATTACCTTTCTTTTGGTCCTGGATATGGGAAATCTGGATGGAAAATACCTTCATACTGAAAAATCATAACCTTCGCATCATCAAATCCTGCAATGACATACTGGTTGTCAAAGCTTGATGTAATACAAGTGACTTTAGAATCCCCAGTACCTGAATGATCAGTTACTGTTTGTCATAAAACAGTTGGGGAGATATCAGAATCATATCTGAGGTATCATTTCTTGTTGGCCTCTCGTCTTTTCTCATACTTCTCAAAACTAGTAAGTGGGATTTCTTGAGGCCTAAAATCAGTTAAAACCTTATTTTTCTCAGTCTTGTAACTAAAATTGTCAATCTCTACACCAAGTTCATTCAAACTCATTACCTCTCTTCCTTGTAAATATGATCTCTTGTTTTAGCATTTTGCTTCACATCTTCCTCTTCCTTCTTACTAGCTGAGGCGATACTCTGAATGCTCATCTTAGTTTCATGGTCAAGATATTCATCAAATTTCTGTCAGATTTCCAAAATCTGAGAATCATGTCCTCCACTTCTCTTAAGCTCAATGATTGAACACAGGATGATAGTCTTAGCTATCTTACGGAGATCAGTTGATAACTCCGAATTCTCGCTAACAGACAACTTCTGAAGCTTAGAAATACTCTCAATGTGCTTTTGAAGAGTCTCAGGGTTGATCATATCAAGTACAAAGCTCTGAGACTCATCTGTTCTTAATCTATGCATTGCTCGGTCAATTTCTTGGCCAATCTGGTCAATATCAAGCGAAACCCCTTGTAATCTCTGCTTCAGGTAGATGCTCAATGCTTCTCTCTTAACTGGTGGAAGGCTCTTCAGCTCTTCAGCGTAATCTCTTCGCTCCAGAAATTTACTTGAGGCATCAAAATGGCCGTTCTCGACTAGATACGCAAAAATCAGAAATTCTATATGCTTTTCGTCCATTTTTAAGTAATTTTATAAGTTTCAACTAATTTTAGTAAAAAAGGGGTTTTGGGGTTTTGGGGTTTTGGGG